AAAATGCTATGCATATCAGTGGCTTTACAAGAATGTAAAAACTCTTGTATATATAAATGAAGTAAAATAAAATAAAAAATAAATAAAAATAAATAAAAAAAGGTTCTGCACCCAATGTTCATCTATGATGGCAGTGTGATTATCATTCCAGGCTAGTCATCAAATGATAACTTGAAATCTCTAACTACTGTGTGTCGTAAAAACACACTTGATTCGCAGGTATCAAGTTAGATGGAGATACAGTGCATTCTATTTCACTTGGTTTATAACAGCAACTCTGTACATAATGATGAGTTTACTTGTAAATCCTATACAGTATTTTCTACCTTCAGTCCAAGAGTATGCAACTTTGCCCTTACTGAAGAGTTAGTGTAGTTCATAAAACAGAAAACTTAAACCTGAACAACTAGGTACAATCCTAATTTTTCTGTGGGGAGCCCCTATGGCTCCCTGGAGCTTATTGGGCTAATGTATGTTATATTAGACCGGGACATTAGCTAAGGAGTTCAGACCACCAGGTCGGCCGGGGATGGAGTCTGTCCGTCCGTCGGGCTCACAGCACGGTTCGGGAGTTCGTGGCTGTCTGGTTTGCGCTTCGGAGGGTTTGGGTCACTCGGTGCCCTACCATTCGGCTCCGTTCGGACTGTTCTCTGGCGGTTCTTGCTGGAACCACAGGGTTTCTGTTAGGTGTTGACCTTTGGGGTTGGTTCCTTAGAGTGGCTCATTTGCTGGATTCTCGGGGTTTGGCTAACCGTGAGGTTCATGTCCAGGGTGTGTCCTGCGTCCTGGTGGACAGCAGTTAATTCCTCTGTTGGCCAGTCATCGTCGACTCGTTTTGTTGGCTCTGCCAGACTTATGGACTCCTGGCCATGGACGTCTTCGAGTTGGCATGGTCTAGGCGTCGCCCATTTTATGTGGCGCCCTTACCCACCTGCGAGGCGTTCACGGTGGATGCTTTTCGGCAGGACTGGTTGAGGTGGGGGGTACCTGTTCCTCTTCTCCCGGCCCAGCTGTTGCTTCGGGTTCTGGCTCAGTTGCAGCCCATCCCACGAGAGCAGTCCTTATGGTTTCTTGGTGACCAGCCCAGCTTTTTCAGACGCTGCTTGATAGGTGTCCGAACCCGGGGTGTTTTCCTGCGGCTCCGCCTCTTTCGGCAGGTCGGATCGGTCCTGTACGTGACTGGTTCGGCCTTCTCCTCGGCTCTTTGCGTCTGATATTTTGACGTGGGTATCACCATCTCTGTGGTGTTCAGGTGACTTTGTTGACGGTGTCCCACCTGCGAGCTTCGTCTTGGCGACAGTATGACGTTCCTGGTGTTTCTATGCACTTTTTTCTTGCTTTTCATAGGATGTCGTATCTTTCGCATCGGGTTGTCGTATCTTTTTTTCAGTTTTCAGGACTACAGTTATTTGATGTTTTTACTGTTGCCTCGTTTTATGCGGCGCTGGCGGAGCCGCTCCGGCTTGCGTTTGGGGTAGACTTCACATCTGCCCCGTTTCGTACGCTTTCTCGTGTTTTGTTTCACCTCCGGCCAGCTCATGCGTCGCCTGAGCCGTCTTGGTCCTTGATCAGGGTGCCTTCTTATCTTCTTAGTTTGTGGTAGCCCCTTCGGTTCAGGTTTCTGCTCTTTGGTACTGGTGGTAGATTTGTACGTGTGCAGCCTTTCTCCGTCCTGGCGACAGTCGAGACGGCTGCTTTCCGGAGGGGTTCTTGGGTTATTGCTGCTTGTTGGTTTGGCCGGGGGTGCGTCCTGTGTTGTCCGGTTATGCTTCTTGCCGTTACCTGCGTACCATGTCTGGGGATGCGCTGTGGCTGATCCGGTTCCCCTTGTTCCCTGTTTTCAGGGCTCGGATCTCCCAGGTCGTATGCAGAGTGTTTCAGACGTTCCAGGCTGCGGTCTGTCTTTGCGTCCGTGCTGTTCAGACGTTTGCAGCTTTTGCTGCTGTATTGGTGACGTCTAGGGCTCATTTCTGGCGCAGGGATTTGTGGGTCGCACAGGTTCTTGGCCACCCATTCTTTATGCACGTCTGCTCCTGTGCCTTCTTGTTGTCTTGGGTTGCAGGTTGCAACCTGTTGTCTCGGCTTCACATTGCGGAGTTTGTGGCGGCCGCCTCCCGGTTTAGCCCTTTCTTTACCTTCTCTTTGGGTATGAAGCTCCAGGGAGCCGTAGGGGCTCCCCACAGAAAACCAGCGTTGAATGTAATGAAACGCCATTTTCTGGGTGAGCCCCGGAAGCTCCCTGGCAACCCTTCCTCCCACCAGTCGGCATTTTTTTTTCGCATTGGTTGAAGCTTAGCTTCCACACTGAAGCTTGGCAGCCGGTGCGGTAGGTCCGGGGCTTCCCCTTCCCCCTCTCGCAGGGAGGGCTGCGCGGACAATCGGCGCGGCAGTAAAGTGTGATGTTTGCTTGTTTGCTTGTTTCCTTGTGATTGTAGGGAGTTTCTACTTCTTTGTTCGTTTTTTTGTTTTAGTTTTTTACCATGTGGGGTTTGTTTTGTTATGCCTACCTTTTTGGGTGCCTAACCCTGGTCGATGGCAGATAAGGAAAACCCCAATCACAAAGGGGTTTTCCAGGGCCATTGCTTCCTGAAGCCTCTCTGAAGGGGCCAGGTTCTGGCGCTGGTCCCTGGTAGGTCTGAACTCCTTAGCTAATGTCCCGGTCTAATATAACATACATTAGTCCGATAAGCTCCAGGGAGCTTCCGGGGCTCACCCAGAAAATGGCGTTTCATTACATTCAACACTAGTATTTTTTTAGTGTATTGTGTACTTGTCACATAATTAAACCAAACAAATTTTCAACACTATTGAATGTACAGTACAATACATACTGAATGTCCAGTACAATACATTCTGAATGCACAGTACAATACATATCTCACATTGAACTTGATGTACCAGTGAATATGAAGAACAAAATGTAATTAACATTTTATGATTACCAATAATGTAGATTTATAATTTGTTATTATCTGACAAAATACAATGCGCAAATGTATAAAGCTGTGAACTGCTTTGTTCATAGCTTAAAGATATTTAATGATACTAAATAGTAAAGCAGATTGGATGAATTGGGTTATTTTGAATATAATTAACCTTCATTTTCAAAACTGTTCTCTCGTCTGCTTTGGGCAGATGCCTCTTGACTGTATCCCATCTTTCTTTAGTACATTGCTTTTTCTTGGTGTTTATATATCAGTTGAGTGGCTGTGAAACATCTGTTTTTGACTTACTGTACATGTAGAAGACAGAATTAGTGTTTACTGAATGACCTTCAGAGAATCATAGAACAGTATGAACCCTGTTATGCTGTGCTTCAGAGTTATCGCCTCTGGTTTGACCCCTTGTGCTAAGGTATTAAATAAAAGTTTGTTATAATTTCTATATGTGATCTGCACACATGTGATACCGTGTGCTTCAAATTGTTTGTTACTGTATTTTGTGGGGCTAAAAAATGTTTTAGTGGTGTCTCAAGATACCTGTATATTTTAAGCACATACTGTATACAGTGGTACCTCCATTTTCGAACTTAATCCGTTCCCATAGACGGTTCGAAAACTGAAAATTTGAAAACCTAAATGAATTTTTCCGTAAGAAATAATGTAAACTGAATCAATCCATTTCACACCCCCAAAAATATTAACTTAAAAATACATTTTATACATACTACTACTGCACTTATAATTTGTACTACAGTACTTAAAAGTATACCTTGCCTTTATTGGGGACTCTTGTTGGCGTATGGAAGACGGTGAGGAAGTGGGTAGGAGGAGAGGTGTTAGTGTTAGTAATGGAAGGGAAGTCCCCTTCCATTATAACAGCAGTGATGACATTTCTGGGGTACTCTCTCCTACGTTTTGCAGGCATACCACGAGGACCTGGTTGTGGCTCACTACTTGCTCGTCTTACTAAGAATCTGTCTATAGACATTTTTTTTTCCCCGACGTTTTAACACTTGTCTGTAGTGAGACATTACATTATCTCACTATGAATGATCTCTTGTTTTTCCTCTATTGTCATCCTCACAACTGTTTTCTTATGTTGAACTTTACCACCGACTTTCTTAGAACCCATGGCGTGATATATGCAGGTAATAAGAATTTTTGTGTTCAGAAACCAAAAAAACACACAAAAACAATGAAATTCTTCACAAAGAATTCTAGCACGGTCATCACTAGGCGGGAGACACAGGTAAACTGAAACGCACCACATGCTCGGTCGGCTCATTCATGTATCAACAAACCTCAAGCACCGGGGCAAACCTTGAGTACCGAATCAAATTTTTTTGAAGAAATTGAGCTCGAGAACCGAAAAATTAAAAAATCGAGGTTCCAATGTACTGTTTATGAGGGTGATTATTAGGACTTTCCCAGTGTACAATATTCTGTGTATCTTGATGTTTCATAGCTTTTTGTTGACGTCTAAATCACAGATTATATTCCACAGTAATCAGCATAGTCAGGTCGCAACCATATGGTCCTGGGTTCCATTTGCAGGTAGAAAGGGATGTGTGGAAATGTTTCCTTACACCTAGCAGTAAATAGGTAATTGGGAGTTAGGCAACTATTCTGGATTGTATCCTGAGGAAGGTCATTCATTGACCTAGAGCAGGGGCAACTAACCTTTTTTAGAGCATGTGACTAAATTGGCAACAATTTTCTAAAAAAAAAAAAAAAAAAAATTGAGGGTCAGTGGAGAAGAAATGCTTGAAAGCATTAATATAGAACTTGGTTTAGTCGACCAATAAATGAGCATGCATGCCAACAAAATAGTTACGCATATTACATTTGGCACGCATGCCATTGGTTCACCAGCCCCAGCAGTTTTCAATAGTCTTAACAGACTTCTTATCCGCCAACAATGAGAAGCTGAGATATTCTTCAGTAGCAACAGGATTACACCCTTTGAATGCTTTTATGCAATTGAATCATTATTTAATATCATATTATCTGTTAATCATGCCTTTTACTTTTATCAGTTATTATATTTTCCCATAACAGGCTGTGTTGTTGGTGAAGGGAGGCAGGAGAGAGTTCCAGGGTCTTCTTGTTATCTCAAACAAGAAAGTGTACATATTGGAAATCATTGCTCAAGAAGAGTAAGTATAATAAGTTTATATATTTTAAAACTACTATCCTGTTCCATCAGTGAGTAGTATCAAGTTAAATATTGCGTTAAATACATAAAGTATTATCTTACTCCTCTACAGTATTACTAGTTGTATTCCTCACAAGAATAGATATTTTTGTTAAATCTTTTTATTTGGAAGTAGTAATGGATTGTTTTAGGACTCACTGAAGAAAGATAATTATAAATGCACAATAAAATTTCAAGAATGTGATGTATCTGAGAAAATAGTGAGGAGTTGAGAGATGCAGGTTCTATCCCATCATATGCTTCAATATTTTCTCAGATATATCACATATGGTGATCAGTCCCTCTTTTATTTTCTCACTCATCCCTTCTCTTCTCCCCTTTTTCGTTTTCATGTAAGCTCACTACAGATGCAGACACTGACTAGTATAAATTATAGTTTAAGTACAGTTGTTATAAATGATGACAATAGTGTTGTTACAAATAAATTTAGCTTAGTCTATGTTATAAATGATGGCAGCACTGGGAATAATTAAATGTTAACTAATACAAATAATTTTTGTATGTTATAGCGACAGTCCTCAAACTTGGCTAGAATTATGTTCCTCGTACAAGTTATCCGATGTGGGTACGATCCACAGTCTCTACCAGCGACAGGGTCTGGCACTCTCTCTAGCTGATACAGTTTTGTTGGTATCACTGGCCGATTCTCATCGAGCAAACTGCTTCTTCAATTTTTTTAGTGGTATGTTGAAAAGCCATTGATCTTAATTATGGAAAGCATATATGTAATCATGTTAAGGCTGGGTGGAAGTAATGTTTAAGAGGGGAATGAATGTATTTGCACATACAGTGGCACCTCGATTAACGAGCGGCTCTATCTGCGAGCATTTCGAGTAACGAGCGAGCCACTCGCAGCAAATTGGTCTCTATTGACGAGCTTCACCTCTATTAATGAGCAAAACCACATGGTGCTTCCTAGCATCTCGTTTTTTTGGGGGGGGGGACGCGAGTCTTATTTTCCTCGGCCTCGCAAATTCTCGGACGCCCCTGACACCAGTATTGATGTTGTATTGCACACGACAAGCATCCCTCTGCATTTATTTGCGCTTTTTTTTTGTGGTTTTGTGACTACAATTTGTAATGCACAATGTCGCCAAAGAAGCTGTTTGCTAAAGATAGTGTTGTCAAGAGGAAGAAAGACAATTACTGTGGATTTGAAGAAGGAAAGTATAGCAAAGCATGAGCGGGGTGTCCGTGTGACTGATCTCACAAGGGAGTATGGCAGGTCCTCATCAACAATTTGCACCATTAGTAAGGGGATTAGGAGGTAAGGGAGGATGCTGCCTTTTTCCAGTGAGATCAGGGAAGTGTTGGGAGTGTTTGAAAAGGTGACCGCATTCTTGGAAAGCATCACCCTGATAAAGCAGTGTGTGGACATGTTTAATGACAATTTGCTGTCTCGTTTTAGGAACATCCTAAAAATAAAGACGAAAGCAATTGTCAATAGATACGTTCTTTGCAAAAGTTAAGAAAAGAGGAGCTAGTGATAGTGAACCACAACCCGGTCCCAGTGGGGTGAAATTCCCAGGGAGAGAGAGCCCGTCTGACTCAGAGGTGGATTCTCCTTCCACACAATAACCTCTCTCCTTCCCACCTCCCCATCGTCTCCCTCAAGCCAGCAACGACTCTTCATAAGGTAAAGTAAACATGAAAACAGTACAAAAAAGACATTTATAATTACATGTGCAGTATTATATTTACATTATGAAATGTCATACTAGTATGGATGTTTTTGGGAGTGGAACGGATTAAATTTATTACCTTTATTTTAAATGGGGAAATTTGTTTCTTAAGACGAGTTTTCCACATAACGAGCTCGGTGCCAGAACGGATTAAACTCTTTAATCGAGATGCCACTGTAATATAGAGGATAACAGTTACAAAGCAGTGAGTTGGTGCTATGTACAACTGCTCAAATATATAAGTGCTTGGTATTTCTGGGGAGAGCCCTTTCGGCTCCCCAGAGCTTATCCAGGCTGATATGGATCTATTAAACTTCAGCATCAGTCAGTGTGAATGGAGTTTTTGGCCTACTGGGAACCATGAGCCAGAACCTGGCCCCCCTTAGAGAGGCACGAGGAGCAATGGCCTATAGAAATGCACATGTGATTTGGTGCATTCTATGTCTGATGACCGGGTCAGGCATCCAGAAAGGTAAGCATCCCAAAACAACCCCCTACTCTGGTTGAAACTACTACTAAAAGTCAAACAAGTGGACAGAACTTCCCCAAAGAAAAACTAGCAAACAAGCATGATGTCACCACGTGCCATGCCACTGTATGTGCAGCCCCCCCCCCCCCCCCTCCCCAAGAGGGGAAAAGGGGAGCCCTAGACCCCTCACGCCAGCTACCCACACCCCAGTTCTCGATTGATGTGTTTGAGGCTTGGTCATGTGACTACATGACTCCAGCTCCTGTTTCTTGCTCAGTGCTGTGCTTTGTGTTTAGTGCTTCAGGGTGGTGCATGAGCTGAGAGTAATCTTCACAGGTACTCAGGCTGCATGCGCTTAGGGTTCCCTTCCCTAAGTGCCCTGTAAGTACCACCCTTGGGGCTTGGGGTTTTCTTCCACAAGTCACCTTGGGGTCTACCTCTGTTGGTCTTTTGCTGATCGGTAATTGACTGCCCTGAGTGTGCTAGGGCGGTCAATTACCGATCAACAACAGACCAACAGAGGTAGACCCCAAGGTGACTTGTGGAAGAAAACCCCAAGCCCTAAGAGTGGTACTTACAGGGCACTTAGGAAAGGGAACCCTAAGGGAAGGGAATCCTCCTCCCTTGTTTACCTTAGGGAAAGGGATAGTTTGCACTGGTAGGGGCACGGGGTACTGCACAGCTAGTTATCACCCATTATGTCGGCCAGCTCTGTTCTGCCTGGGTACATTGTCCTCTTAAGGGATTTTTCTTTTGTTTTTGTTTATCCTGCCTGGTGGGGGGGTCTGCCTTTGGTTCATTGCCCCCTATCTATATTAGGTATAGATTCCTATCTGTGTTTCTAGGTGCTAGGTCCCCGTGAGTGGGCATGTCCTGGGGGTTCAGCTTTTAGAGGTTTGATTGGTAGACTTAAGTGCCGGTTCGCAGTACCCTGCTTGGGCTTACCTTTAGCGATAACAGTCTAAGGGTCCTGGGAAACCCCGCAGGGGCGCAAAAGGCCCCTCTCGCCTTGTGCGAATTCGAAGGTTGCTCTGTTCCCCCTGTCTCAGGGTGACTCACTGTTTTTGCCTCCATCATGCTACCTGTTGGGTCGGTGACACCAACCACTCTTCGACCCAGAGTCCTGTGAGATTTGTTGCTTGTTTGTGACTCAATTCACCCAGTCCACTGATGACCTTCTCCGGGTGCAGGCAGCTCAGGCGTTGCATGCTAGATTTAGGTTGCTGCAACACGCTAGGTTGATTGCTACCCCGGAAGCCCCAAGGCTGCCCCGTTTTGCTTATAGGGACCCAGGCTTGGGAGTGTTGGTTGCTTCGGCCTTGGTTCAGTCCCCACCCCCTCATTTTTCCCCTGCTATGGTTGTTCATTCTGGTCCCCCTCCATCCCTGCTTCCGGCTCCGAAGTGTTTGTGGGCTTCGGGGTTGGCGCAGGGTTTAGAAGGATCTGAGACTCGGGCAGTTTCGGGGGTTGCCCCTTCCAGGGGGAAGGAGTGGGGCAATGAGGCATTAGAGTCGGTTCCTCCAGCTGTGGCAACAGGGTCTGACTAGTGGGCCCCCTTCCTGCCTGCCTTTCCGGCTGTCCCAGTTTTTTCTTGTGAGGCCGGGGCTTTGGAGGACAACTTGGTCCCCGGTCCTGGTGTGGAAGTTCCCGGAGGTTGTGTGGAAGGGCTGACTTGGGGGTCTTGGGCCCCATTTGACCCCGCTTGGGGGTTGGTACCCTCGGCGCTGGGCTTGTTGTTACAGGGGGAGGGGTTTTCCTATCCCCCCTCCCTGTACGAGTTTGATATGGGTGCGACTCCTCCCTGGGTTCGGTTCCGGGTTCCCTTGGGTTCCTCGGTTCCCTCCTTCCCTGCTATGGTTCATTCTGGTCCCCCTCCGTCCCTGCTTCCGGCTCCGAAGCATTTGTGGGCTTCGGGGTTGGCGCAGTGTTTAGAAGGATCTGAGACTCGGGCAGTTTCGGAGGTTGCCTCTTCCAGGGAAAAGGGGCGGGGCAACGAGGCATTCGAGTCGGTTCCTCCAGCCGTGGCAACAGGGTCTGACTAGTGGGGCCCCCCTTTCCTTTCCTGCCTGCCTTTCCGGCTGCCCTGGTTTTTTCTTGTGAGGCCGGGGCTTTGGAGGACAACTTGGTCCCCGGTCCTGGTGTGGAAGTTCCCGGGGGTTGTGGAGGGGCTGACTTGGGGGCCTTGGGCCCCATTGGACCCCGCCTGGGTTTTCCTACTCTCCGAGTAGGAAAATCTTGGCTTACAAGGAGTGGGGTTTTCTTCTCCCCCTCTGCACACAAGTTGGATTTGGTATCAGCTCCTACCCAGGTTCAGTTCCGTTTCCCTTTGGGTCCATTGGTTCCATCCTTCCAGAGGTTTTCATCTTCCTGCGTCTTGCCTACTGAGGTGCAGGCGGTCATTGCGGCTTACCTCCTGTGCGACCCGGAATATGCCTCAATAATGGATCCTTCGTCTTTCAGGTTTAAGTCTTCATACTGGGTTCGTTATGAGGTTCCGAAGTCGTCCTGGTTAGCGGACTGCCCTTTGTCATTGGATTTTTGAGTACTTTCTGTCGTACCCGCATGCTTGAGGTTGCTCGGTCGAACTGGTCGAGATGGGGTTACCTGTACCTCTTCACCCCTTTTGGATGCACATTGTGTCCAAAATTTAAATTTATTAACATTCCATTTATTATTCGATTATTATGGAACTTGTTTTAAAATGTGCGCCTTTAGATTGCAAACAATTTGATATCAAAATTAACGATGTAGCATGAAAATTGAGGTGAGAAAACTGAAAAGAATACAGTATACACAATTTAATGCGGGTGTTGTGGGTGTGCAGATGGGTGCTCGTTCACGGGTAATGCTTGGCGGATTTTCTGATTTGCTGCATGTAGCACGCCTATTTTTTTCTACCTTATATACATATATCCCTTTAGAGAATTATATCGTGAACAATTTGATACTAAAATGAACGATGTAGCACAAAAATTGAGGCATGAGCGCATGCCAAGCCGTGCAACGTGTTAAGTACCTGTTGCATGACCCAGAGTATGCCACTTTTGAGTTTGAGTCATCTTCTGTCCTTTGGTTGTGGTTTGAGGTTGCAGATTTGCCCTGGCTAGCAGACAATCTTCTGTCTCCCACAGGGCTTGGCACATCTTTTGTCATTCCCACATGCTCTAGTGGCATGAGGTGATGACCATGTTTCATGTGTTTTTGGGTGGCCCTTCTTTTCTGCTGCGCAATTACTACCTGTTTGCTCCTGCTGTTTCTTGCAATGTGGGCTTGGTACAGCTCCATGCTCAAGTGTCTTTACTGATGATGTCCCTCATGGTGAAGCACTTTCAGGCTTACTCGCATCTGGCTTCAGCCATGTGGTTTCTGGCTTTCGTGGAGCTCCACTCTGAGTGGCTCCATGAGGATGTTCAGGCACTCGGCTTTGGGCCTGGTTCAGGTACAGTACTTTGATGTCCATTGTGAACATAATTTTTTTTTCTTTCCTACCTCATCCTTTCTCTCACAATCTTTTTGTGCATGTACATGTGTGTGTACATGTGTATATTCATGTAATTACCTAAGTGTAAGTGTAACACACAAACACAAAGACACCAATTTGTATTTTGGTGTGTGTGTGTTTGGTGTTATGTAACTCGGTTTTAATTATTTTTGGTATTTCCCCATAGAAGTGTTAGATGAGCATGGCATCACTCCCAACATAGCAGAATGCAGCCCTTGCCAGGAAGAAGCCCTGACCCAACTTGTCAGTGAGGCAGCGAAGTGTGCCCGGAAGGAGACAACACCTTCTATTTTTGCTATTGTCTCCTTACTCCTTGGTTTGTATATTATGATATTCAGGCTATCTTATAGAATTCATTATCAAATGTCTTGAAAGAATTTACGTAAGGCTACTAGGGGAGTTCTGACAGGCAACAATGTATTTAAGATATTAATGATATTCTTTATTTGAACTGTAAAATTTTGTATTCCATCATAATTTTAAACCTAATTAAAAATAATAATGCTGTACTTCTACATCGTAATTGGTTTTATGAAGACTATATTTTATGCTATCTTTTCAGAAGGAGGATGCAGCGAGAGTCAGTTTTTAGCTATAAATGAAATTGATCTGGTATTATTCCATGCTAGTCTTGAATGGTACTTGCCTCCAAAGCCAGAGTCAAACCTGAAGGTGAATCTGATACAGAAAATATCTGACATTACAGCCGTGGTAAGTACAAGCTACATAGATCATCATCTACGTCGTCATCAGTATTATTATTAGTACTACAGTAATCAGAGTAATCACACTGTGATGTATCAATGAGAATTTGTATTTTTATTGACATTCACTGACTTTTCAATATTGTCAAGCCGGGCTGTATTGCCACCTCAGGTCATGGGTCACCTCCTGACATTCAATGTTAATATTACATCTCATTTCATAACAGGATTTTAATGTTAATTTGTAAAGGGAATATTAAGGGATTACCCAGTTTTTCCTTATGGTTACTCTGTGTAATTAGGATTAAATGGAAGAGATTACAAACAAGTAGGCTGATTGATTGCAAGTAGATTGATTGATTGATGATTCTCATTGACTCATCACGTTAGTGTGATTACTGTGTATTGAAAGAGGATGTCAGAGGTAGAACATTCCTGGATGATAGAGCCAGAGTGCATGGGGGGGGGGGAAGGTGATTGTGTGAAAATTCTGGTTTGGCTTCAGTGGAAGCCTCAGGAAACCCATGTGAGCTCAATAGAACTCTAGGTGGCAATCCTTTTGACCATGTCATAACCTAGTTGACTAGGGTGTGGGCTGGGAACGTCCACCACATAGGTTTGAACCCTCATCACGGCTCCTACGGATTTTCTCATTAGTAGTAGTATTATTACATAATAATAATAATAAAGCTTAGATGAGATGAATTTTAACTGTACCTACAATATTGGGTATTCAAGGGATTGTGAAGTGAAAAATAATATAAAGTTGAATCTTGTGTAGTTTTAAATTTTAAATTGGAGGCTTTTGATTAAGATTTCAAATGTTGAGATCTTCACATGTCACCTGAACACACATACAAAGATGATAAATATAGGCACATCACAAGAAGAGGTTTCAAGTGCTGTTCTCAGAGAATTAGTATTAGTGCAGTTGCAGTCCTGTTGAGTTTTCCTTTCTAGCCGACTCTATATTTGCTTGGTTATCCTCCCTAAATGTTAGGTCGTCAGATATCATTATTCCCAGATCGTTTTTTTTTTTCTTTCCTACTATAGGTAGATCTGATTATCTTGTAACCTGTATTTCAGTTAAGGTCTATTTTTTTCCATATCTGAGTGCCAGGAATTTATCACTGTTAAATCATCATATTATTTTCTGCTGCCCAATTTAAAAGTTTATTAATATCAGCCTTTAGTTTTTCAGTGTCTTCTGCAAAAGTAATTTCTATGCTGATTTTTGTGTCATTTGCAAAAGATGACACAAAAGGTGACATCAAGCTGTGACTTGTATTTTCTGCTTATATCTGACATGAGAATAAGAAAAAGTAGTGGTGCAAGGACTGTACCCTGAGGTACAGAGCTTTTCACTGTGCTTTTACTTGATTTTGTTAGATTGACTGTTACTCTTTGTATACTATTTAACAGGAAATTGAATATCCATTGCTCTGCTTTACCTGTTATTCCTAATGATCTCATTTTATGGGGTATCACTCTATGGTCACATTTGATAAATGCCTTTGCAAAGTCAGTGTATACCATCTGCATTTTGTTGCTATTCTAAGGTTTGTGATTTTGTCATAGTGGTCGAGTAGCTGCGAAAGGCATGATCTTCTTGCTCTAAATCCATGTTCACTTGGGTTGTGAAGGTCATTGTGCTCCATAAAACTGGAGATCTGACTACTGATCACTCAAAAAGTTTTTTTGTGTGTGACAGTGTGACTGGTCTATAATTTTTAGCCAATACTTTGCTCCCTCCCTTGGATAGGGATACTATATTTGCTGATTTAAATTCTTTTGGTATCTCCCCAGTGTCCAAACCTTTTCTCCACACTACACTGAATATTCGTGCTACTGGCCCTTTACATTTCTTCATAAATGTAAAAATTCACGAGTCTGTATTGAGGGCCGAGTGCATTGGCATGTTAATTTCTCTTTCAAAATCTGCAGTGCCCATATTGATATCGGTTACATTGTTCGGGGTTTGGGTATCATTCATTAAGACGTTGTTTATTAATAAATTGAATCAAGATCTTCAATATTCATGTTGTTGCAGATGATGAGTCACAATAACATGGCTGAAGATATGAAAACTAAACCACACACCAGAAGATGAGGAGACGACGATGTTTCAGTCCGTCCTGGACCATTATTACAATCGACTTGATAATGGTCCAGGACGAACTGAAACATTGTCGTCTCCTCATCTTCTGGTGTATAGTTTAATTTTCATTCATGTTGTTAATTGGGGTACTAAACATAGCCTCATACTGAATTTTTAGGATTTCACTAATTTCCTAATCTGCCCCTGTATAAACCTTCACTTGTAAGTATAGGTCCAATGCTGGTATTGGTTTTTTTATTTTGATTTTGCATGTGAAGAAATATATATATATATTTTTTTTTATTTTTTGTATGGCTTTGTTCCAACTTCATCTCTTCAGCCTGGTATGATTACTTCAGCTTCTGATCGACAGCATTTCTATAATATGTAAACAGTTTTTTCTTTGGAATAGTTGTGTCTGCTTGAGCATTTTCCCCCTTCTTCTGTATATTGTCACTGAAGAGATAAAGCTACTTAGAGGAACTACACACAATAAAGGCAGTAAAGCCAGACCATGTATTACCATGGTTGCTGAGGGATTCTTATCTGCTAAGTGGGATTTGTAATGATACGCTGAAGAATGAAGAACACGAGGAGATCTGGGATTCTAAATGGTAATAATATTACCATTTAGAATATTGGTAATATTCTAAATGGTAATATTATTACCATTTAGCCGGGAAGAAACCCCCCCCCCCCCCTGGTTCCCTAGGAGAACCAACAATTCAGACATAGGGGTAGCAAGTGGAAGAAGTCGCCTGAATATAATGCTCAACCGCAGAGGCCTCAAAATCAAAGGACATAAAGGGGAAGACAACCAAAAAACCAGGGCTCAAGCAGATTCCAAGGAGGAAACGAGAACCGCCTGTCGACATGCGAAACACTCAGCAAAAAAACGCAGCAACTCCTCCCGTAGGATCGGCACAAACTGCTTCAAAAGAGGAGATGACGCACGAGCAGCCGAGACTAAGGCGCCAGACCCAGGAACGGCCCCTAAGCACCTCTACATCCTCCACAAGCCAATTTGAAGATAGCTCCAGGAGGGAAAAGAAACGCAGGACCGAAGCTAAAAAGACATGAGCGCACAAGTTCTCAGCCACAAGTGCAGCCGACAGGGAAGGAATCTGCACATGAAGCTGAAACATACTAATATCCCGCAAAAGGGCAGGAGCAAAAAGTCACTCATTAAGATGCTCAAAATCGCCCCCAGGTAAACCTGGACCACCTTGAGGTTACCTTGAGGTGATTCCGGGACTTGGTGACCCCGCGGCCCGGTCGTCGACCAGGCCTCCTGGTTGCTGAACTGGTCAACCAGGCTGTTGGATGCGGCTGCTCGCAGCCTGACGTATGAGTCACAGCCTGGTTGATCAGATATCCTTCGGAGGTGTTTGTCAAGTTCTCTCTTGAATACTGCGAGGGGTCGGCCAGTTATGCCCCTTATGTGTAGTGGAAGCATGTTGAACAGTCTCGGGCCTCTGATGTTGATAGAGTTCTCTCTTAGTACCTGTTGGACCTCTGCTCTTCAACGGGGGTATTCTGCACATCCTGCCATGCCTTCTGGTCTCATGTGCTGTTATTTCTGTGTGCAGGTTTGGGACCAGCCCCTCTACTATTTTCCATGTGTGTAAATTATTATGTATCTCTCCCGCCTGCTCTCAAGAGAATACAGATTTAGGCTTTTTAGTCAGTCCCAATAGTTTAGATGCTTTACTGAGTGGATTCTAGCAGTAAAGGATCTCTGCATGCTCTCCAGGTCAGCAATTTCTCCAGCTTTGAAAAGGGCTGTCATTGTGCAGTAGAATTCCACCCTAGAGAGCACTAGCGTCTTGAAAAGTATCATCATCGGTATAGCATCTCCAGTGTGAAAGGTTCTTGTTATCCAACCTGTCATTTTTCTTGCAGTTGTGACGGCTACTTTAATGTGTTCTTTTAATGTAAGGTCTTCCAAAATCAGTAGACCCAAATCCTTTACATTGCCTTTTCGTTCTGTTATGATTTCACTGAGTTTTGTACGTGGTTTCTGTTTTTTAAGCTTTGACCATCGTCAAAGACCACCGTCATTGACCACCACCAAAGACCACCACCACCAGGTGGTCAAAGACCACCACATTGACCACCATCAATGCCTCACGCCACTCAAACGTGCGTGTCCAACAGAACGAGTCCCAAGCATCCAACGAAAACAAGGGGCAGTCTGCAAACCAGGACAACCCCGGAACCTCATAACGCACCCAGTATGAACACAAAGCTCCAAACCTGAAAGAAGAATGATCCATTATGGAGGCATACTCCGGGTCGCGCAGGAGGTAAGCCGCAATGGCCGACTGTACCTCAGGTGGCGAGATGTGGGAAGCCGAAAACTTCGGGAAAGACGGAATCGAAGGATCCGCAGGGACACGGAACCAAACCCGGGGAGGAGCGGAACCCAAGTCCAAATCGTACGCAGAATGGGGAAAAGAAAACCCCACTCCTTGCAACAGTAATCCCCGCTCAGAAGGACGGAAAATCCAGGCGGGGTCCAACAGAGCCCAAGACACCCCCCAAGTCAGCTCCTCCCCAACCCCGGGAACCTCCAATTCCGGGGGCCGAGTCGTCCTCCAAAGCCCCGGCCTCACAAGAAAAAGCCGGGACAGCTGGAAGAGATGGGGCCCACTGGTCAGATCCCAGAGCAGCGGCAGGAGGAACAAACTTGAATGCCTCCGTAGCCACCCTGGAAGAGGCAACCCCCGAAACTGCCAGTCTCGGAAACCTCTAAACCCTGCCCCGACCCCAAAGCCCTCAGATGCTTAGGGGCCTGAAGTAGGGGAAGGGGGGACCGAATGAACTACTGCAGGGAAAGAATGAGGGGACATGGACGGAACTAAGGCCGAAGCGACCAACACCTCCAAGTCCCTATAGGCAAAGCGGGGCAGCCTCAGGGCGTCCGGGGAAGCTGCAACCCGAGCGCATTGCAATAACCTAAACCTATCCTGCAATGCGCGTGCTGCCTGCACCCCAAGAAAATCATTATCAGATTGGGTGAATTGAGTCACAAAAGCAACAAAGCTTGCAGGACTCGGGTCAAATGTGTCACCAACCCAAGAGGCTGCATGACGGAAGCAAAAGCAATGTGTCGCCCTGAGACAAGGGGACAAAGCAACCCTCAAACTTGCACAAAGCGAGAGGGGATGCAGGGGTCTCCTCCATCGGACCCGAGTGCCCCCGCGGGGTTTTCCAGGGCCCCTAGACTGGGTCTGCTAAGGGTTATCCCAGGCAGGGTACTGCTAACCGGTGCCCCAAACTACCAAGCAAACCGCTAAAAGCTGAACTCGCGGGACATGTCCACTCATGAGGGCGAAGCAGGGGTGCCACCACACAAACGACCCTAATATAAGGGGGGGGGGAGAACACAAAGCAGACCTCCCCCCCCCCACACCAGGCAAACACAAAAATAAAAGAAAATCCTCGCAAGAAGACAATGTACCCGAAGAGAACAGAACTGCCCGCTGTTAAAGGTGAAAACTAGCTATGCAGTAACCCATGCCCCCACCAGTGCAAGAAATACCAATTACCCCAAGGCAAACAAGGGTGAAAACCCCTCCACACACTCAGGGTGGCCAAACACCAAGCAGCGAAAGGCCAACAGAGGTAGACCCAAGGTGACTTGGGGAAGGAAATCCTAAGCCCCGAGGGCAGTACTTACAGGGCACTCGGAGAAGGTGACCCTAAGCACATGCATCCCAAGTACCGAAGAATACTACTCCCAGCTCGCACGACCACCATAAAAGCAGCACTAAAAACAATTAACAGCACTTAGAGAAGACTGGAGCTACACGACTATGCACAATCCCATCAGCCGAGGAACTGGGGTGATGATCACCGGCACGAGGTTCTGGGGCTCCGCCTTCCCCCTCTAGGGGAGGGGGGGGGCTGCATTGAAGACACTGTAGAGCTGTAGCCAAGGAGTCCGTATGTAACCGTGCCGCATGTCTGCGCTCATGTGACGTCATGCTTGTTTGCTCGTTTCACTTTTGGGGAGTTCTGTCCACTCGTTTGACGATTTTCATTGTTAACCAGAATAGGGGTTTCTTTTGTGGCGCTTACCTTTCTGGGTGCCTGTCCCGGTCGATGGCAGATATTGAATGCTCCAAATCACATGTGCATTTCTATGGGCCATTGCTCCTCATGCCTCTGTAAGGGGGCTAGGTTCTGGCTCATGGTCCCTGGTAGGCCTAGAACTCCACCCACATCGAATGATGCAAAATTGTTAGGGTATCCATATCAGCCATGGATAGCCTTCGGGACTCCCCCAAAAATACCTCCTATTTTTTTTATTCAATTATATTTTTTATCCAAACCTACTCTGCAAAACAAACACATGCATATGCATATAATTTATTTAAAATTATATCAATATGCACATTGAAATGACAAGACCATGATTAATATTGAAGCTGTACTATGGGATTGAACCTGCCCAGCAGGCAGTGTGCGCGCCTGAGGAGTTCAGATACGTGGGTCTGATCCCATCGCATGATGTTAATATTTACTCAAATAAAATATGTATACTAGGATTACACATCCTCTTCTGTTACCCCTAGGCTGGGAGTACAAGTGTTAAAATATCAATTCTATATATTACAGGAAGTACATAGTGACAGCCACATCTGTCTTCAGTTTATGGATGAAGTAACAGGGGCAGAGACGTCCTGGGATCTTCATGTGGCCTCATCCGTTGCTGCTTGTCACATTATCCAGGCCATACGGACTCCTTGGCTACAGCTCTTCAGTGTTGATCTTCAGGTGACATATTATAAAAGTAACCAAAATCACACCTTAAGAGTAGTTTAATTGTTTAAATACTTTTATAAATATACAAAAATAATAAATAAATAAATAAATAAATATATATATATATATATATATATATATATATATATATATATATATATATATATATATATATATATATATATATATATATATATATATATATATATATATATATATATATATATATATATATACATATATATATACATATATATATACATATATATATACATATATATATACATATATATATACATATATATATACATATATATATACATATATATATATTATATATATATATATATATATATATATATATATATATATATATATATATATATATATATATATATATATATATATATATATATATATATATATGGTCTGTTATTTATGGTCTGACGCCTCAACGCATTTCGTAATTCTTATTACATTTTCAAAGACTTGGTTTACACATACAAATTCATCGTACAGTACTTGTAATCGTTTTTGGGTGAGGTAATATGGCACAAAAGTTTTGGATGAGGTGACAAACACAAAACAATGGGTATAAATTGAGTATGAAAACATAAGAATGGAAGTAACTGCAGAAGGCCTATTGGCCCATACCTCCTCTTCCTGCTTCTATGTTGGTTCGGAGTCTTGAAGTGTGTAGAATATAATTGTGCATTAATTGGTTGCTGGTGTTGACTTTTTGATGTGTAGTGCCTCGCTGATGTCAAGCCTCCTGCTTTCGCTGTATCTATCGATGATTTCTGTGTTGTTTGTTAAGATTTCTTGGGTGATAGTCTGGTTGTGAGAAGAGATTATATGTTCCTTGATGGAGCCCTGTTGTTTATGCATTGTTAATCGCCTGGAGAGAGACAACATTGTCTTGCCTATATACTAAGTTTTTGGGGGCTTACAGTCCCCAAGTGGGCATTTGAAGGCATAGACAACGTTGGTTTCCTTCATGTCATTCTGTTTGGTGTCTGGGGAGTTTTTCATGAGTAGGTTGGCTGTTTTTTTTGGTTTTATAGTAAATTGTCAATTGTATTTTCTGATTTTTGTCTGTAGGGGATAACATTCCGATCAACAATATCTTTCGGGACCCTTTCTTCCATTTTATGAGCCGTCGAAAAGAAGTTCCTGTAAAATAGTCTAATAGGGGGTACAAGTATTGTGTTGGTTGACTCTTCAGAGGTTGCATGGCATTTCACCTTTCTTTTTATGATATCTTCATCAAAACCATTAAAGAAGCCGTTGTTGACTAGGACCTGCCTTACCCTGCAGAGTTCTTCATCGACTTGCTTCCATCCTGAGCTGTGGCTGAGAGCCCAGTCGACGTAAGCGTTGACGACACTCCTCTTGTACCTGTCTGGGCAGTCACTATTGGCATTGAGGCACATTCCTATGTTTGTTTCCTTAGTGTAGATTGCAGTGTGGAAGCCTCCTCTCCTTTCTGTGACTGTTACATCTAGAAAGGGCAGCTTCCCATCATTCTCCATCTCATAAGTGAAACTCAACACAGAATTCCGTTCAAATGCCTCCTTCAGCTGCTGCAGACGTCAGGCATCAGGTACCTGTGTAAAAATGTTGTCAACATACCTGCAGTATATAGCATGTTTCAAGTTCATGTCAACTAAGACTCTATGTTCGATGGTACCCATGTAGAAGTTCGCAAACAGGACACCTAGGGGAGAACCCATGGCGACCCCATCTACTGTACTTGCTTATACATGTGCCCATCTGGGCTCAAGAAGGGTGCCTCTTTAGTGCAGGCTTGGAGTAGTTTCCTTAGTATGTTTTCTGGTATGTCAAGAGGAGTGTAAGCCGGATCACAATACACTGTCCGCTATCATCCCGATTGTTTCAACCACAGGTACGTTGGTAAACAGTGACTGTACATCCAATGAGGCTCTTATCCCCGTGGCCCATGCTCCCCGCAGTAAGTCAACAAATTCCTTTGGAGACTTCAGGCTGAAACCACAAGGTACATTAGGAGTCAGCAAGCCATTGAGTCGCTTAGCCAGTCTGTATGTGGGTGTAGGTATCTGGCTGATGATTGGCCGAAGTGGGTTTCCAGGCTTGTGGGTCTTGACATTACAAACCTGGGTAGGCGTATGGAAATGTCAAGACCCACAAGCCTGGAAACCCACTTCGGCCAATCATCAGCCAGATACCCACACCCACATACAGACTGGTTAAGTGACTCAATGGCTTGCTGACTCCTAATGTACCTTGTGGTTTCAGCCTGAACTCTCCAAAGGAATTTGTTGACTTACTGCGGGGAGCATGGGCCACGGGGATAAGAGCCTCATTGGATGTACAGTCACTGTTTACCAACGTACCTGTGGTCGAAACAATCGGGATGATAGCGGACATTGTATCGTGATCCGGCTTGCACTCCTCTTGACATACCAGAAAGCATACAGGTACTAAGGAAACTACTCCAAGCCTGCACTAAAGAGGCACCCTTCTTGAGCCCAGATGGGCACATGTATAAGCAAGTAGATGGGGTCGCCATGGGTTCTGATGCCAGACGTCTGCAGCAGCTGAATGAGGCATTTGAGCGGAATTCTGCGTTGAGTTTCACCTAAGAGATGGAGAATGATCGGAAGCTGCCCTTTCTAGATGTAACAGTCACGGAAAGGAGCGAAGGCTTCTACACTGCAGTCTACACTAAAGAAACAAACATAGGATTGTGCCTCAATGTCATTAGTGACTGCCCAGACTGCCCAGTACAAGAGGAGTGTCGTCGACGCTTATGTCGACCGGGCTCACAGCCACAGATCAGGATGGAAGCAAGTCGATGAAGAACTCTATAGGGTAAGGCAGGTCCTAATCAACAACGGCTTCTCTAATGGTTTTGTTGAAGACATAAAAAAAAGGTGAAATGCCATGTAACCTCTGAAGAGTCAACCAACACAATACTTGTACCCACTAGTGTATTAGACCATTTTATTGGAACTTCTTTTTGACGGCTCATAAAATGGAGGAAAGGGTCCTGAAAGATATTGTTGATAGGAACATTATCCCTACAGACAAAAATCAGAAAATACAATTGACAATTTACTATAAAACCAAAAAATTGGCCAACCTACTCATGAAAAACTCCCCAGACACCAAACAGAATGCCTTGAAGGAAACCGTCACCGTCTATGCCTTCAAATGCCCACTTGGGGACTGTAAGCCTCAAAGAACTCAGTATATAGGCAAGACAACAACGTCTCTCTCCAGGCGATTAACAATGCATAAACAACAGGGCTCCATCAAGGAACATATAATCTCTTCTCACAACCAGACTATCACCAGAGAAATCTTAAACAACACAGAAATCATCGATAGATACAGAGATAGCAGGAGGCTCGACAACAGCGAGGCACTAGACATCAAAAAGTCAACACCAGCAATCAACAGTCAATTAATGCACAACTATCAAGACCCCGAACCAACCCACTTCAAGACCCCGAACCAACATAGAAGCAGGAAGAGGAGGTATTGGCCAATAGGCCTTCTGCAGTTACTCCCATTCTTATGTTTTTATACCCAATTTATACCCATTGTTTCGTGTTGTCTTGTGTTTGTCACCTCACCCAAAACTTTTGTGCCAATATCACCTCACCCAAAAACAAGTATAAGTACGATGAATTTGTATAAGTAAACTAAGTCTTTGAAAATGTAATAAGAATAATAAGAATTACGAAACGTGTTCTGGGGTCAGACCATAAATAAAAATGAATTTTGGAGAATTGATTTTTCAATTACCATTGCCAGTGAAGAGAAACATAAGAAATATAGAGAAAATTTGTGTTATACATATATTATATATATATATATATATATATATATATATATATATATATATATATATATATATATATATATATATATATATATATATATATATATATATATATATATGTATGTATGTATATATATATATATATATATATATATATATATATATATATATATATATATATATATATATTTATATATTTATATATATATATATATATATATTTATATATTTATATATATATATATATATATATATATATATATATATATACATGTCTTTGAAAATGTAATAAGTTTTACGAAACGCGCCCGTGTCGCGTCAGACTAGAAATAAAAATGAATTTTGGAGAAGTGATTTTTGATTTACCTCCAACAGTGAAGCGTAATGTACGAAAGATTGAGAAAATTTGTGTTAGAATTATTAATCTTACTTTTTCGGTCATATTTAATAATACAGTGGTACCTCGCATAACGATCGCCCCAAAAGACGAACATTTTGGGTAACGAACGGCCCGATCGGCGTCAAATCGTCCCGTATGACGAACGCTGGTTTGAGTAACGTCAACACCACATGGTGGGCCAGGTGGGGTCGCGCTGCTTCTTGCACATTCTTAGACGCCTCCGACGATGCACATAAATTATGTTGTTCTTGTTTAAAGATGCTAATGATACTGGGATATAATGGGGTGACTGCTGAGATGTTGCAAAGCATTGACGTTTTTGTAGGAAAAAAGAAATGAAATGTCTGATATACAAGAAATGTCAAAAAGGTTCATTCGGTGTTGGCAGGTAGGCTGCTCCATTATAACAATCTTTCTTTGTTTCAAATGTGTTCCATTTGTTTTGTATTTGTCATTTACGTCTCAATAATAGAGAAGCCTACCTTACATACACTGAATAAACCATTATGACATTTTCCTTTCTTCAAATGTGTTCAATATTTATTTTCATTTGTCTTATAGCAAAATGTTCGTTCGGTGGTCGGCAGGTAGGCTGCTCCATGTTTCTTACATACAAAAAACGTAAATAATAAAAAAAATGAAGACTTTTGAAAACCAGTACAAATGTCAAAAAGGTTCGTTCGGTCGTCTACAGGTCGGCTGCTCCATGTTTCTTAAATAAAAAAAAAACGAAAAATAAAAGAACTGTTGAAACAATTTGAAAAATGGACAATGCCATAAAGG